AGAGGGGTCGGGGGGGGAGTGATAGAGGGGTCAGGAGGGGGCGGTGGTGATGCAGAAGAGGCGGGTGGAGGTCCTGGTGAGGAGGCTGGCTGGGTGCAACCCTGTGTGACACCGAGCCACATGTCCCTGTCTGGTGGGGGGTTATCAAGAAGGCAGGGTACGGGACTCTCCGAGCTAGCCCCTGACACAGTCTCTGAGAAATCGAAGAGGGACAAGCAGAACAAACAGGAGGGTACAAATCTTATCAAACAGCAATAAAGCAGAAACAGCTCCCATCAGTTACAGGCGGTTCATTAGCGGTTACACTTTCACTAATGAATGGCTGGTTAACAGGCACAAGGACGAGCTTTCTAACAGGTGCCCTCACCATTCCTCGTCTTTGTGAGCCAGGAAGAAGTCCTGCATCTGCTGGCGCCGAAACTCAATCTTGTATTCGTTGTAGCGTTTCACTGACTCCGTCTCATCCACGGAATCATCCAGGGACAGCAGGAACTCCTTGAAGGTCTTCATCACTGGGGGTGGAGGGCCCACCTCCAGGTCATGCAGATTGCCCAGCCTGGGGGTAAAAGGAACACTAACAGCGTCGGTACAGCATGCCCTTGAGTTTCACAGGAAAACCAAGCCACAACCTTCCGACCCACAGTGAGCTATCCCGGGGCAACAGGCACAGTGATGGGGCAGGGCTAGGGAAGGTCAAACAAATTTACACTCCATCACCTCTTATCTTTGAAGCACACACTCCTCACTCTGTCCAATGGTCTGTGGCCATTCCAGGTGGCAGCACACCACCCCTTTCTCAAGGCCAATAACCACAGGTCCTGCCAACCTCACCCACATCCCTTCAATGAATAAAGGCACAAACACACACCCATTCACATACTCATGTACACTTACACACACACAGACACACACACACACACACTTTTTATTCATACTGTGGGATGATGGCTGGGCCCAGTAATTATTGCCCCATCCCTAGTTGCCCTTGAGAAGGTGGGGGTGAGCTGCCTTCTTCAACCGCTGCAGTCCACCTGCTGTGGGTTGACCCACAATGTCCCTTAGGGAGGGAATTCCAAGGATTCTGACCCAGCGACAGTGAAGGAACGGCGGATATATTTCCAAGTCGGAACGGGGAGTCACTAGGAGTGGGAACTTGCAAAGGGGTGGTGTTCCCATATATCTGGTGCCTTTGTCCTTCTAGATGGAAGGCTTTATGTTAAAAGTGTTTTAAATTGGATTTTTTTTTATAAAGAATTGATGAGCAGAATTTGTCTGAGGAGGAATATATTGGCCTTGGAGGGAGTAAATATAGGCTTACAAGAATGATGCTTAGACTTCATGGGTTAAGCTATGAGGAGAGATTATACAAGTCAGGTCTGTTTTCCCTAGAATTTAGAGGTTAAAGGGTGATCTGATCGAGTCTTCAAGATATTAACAGGAAAAGTCAAGAGTGGATAAGGATAAAATATTTGCACTGTCTGGGGGTTCTTGAACTGGAATCATAGTCGTGCAGCATGGAAACATACCCTTCGGCCCAACTTGTCCGTGCTGACCCAGATATCCTAAATTAAT